CCCATTTGCGGCCTATAGGCTGTTTTGTCGGGAGGCAAAAACTCTAAAGTCCAGGTATTGTTAGCCTCTAATGCCTTTAGTTCGTCCTCCATAGCCTGTCTCCAATGGGGATCTTTACGGGCAACGAGTATATGAGGTGGGTTCAATGTGCTTGATAATAGAATTAATGAAATGGAGATGGTTATTTGAGTAAGGATTTGAGCAAAGAGAGTGTGAGATAGGATATTGCATACACTGGAGACGAGGAAGAAGATTGAGCGGAGGCCATATTACACACGTAATCGGCAAGGTGCGGCTGGAGGCTTTTTGAGACGTTCGGAGTGTCTTGGTGCAAGGGTAGTCACCGTAGGAGTGTCAACCGCATGTGTGGGTTCAAGGGTGGTCACCTGCGGGGAGGGATTCAAGGGTTCAACGGTATGTGTGGGTTCATTATCATTGGGTTCTGCGGGGAGGAGGGAGTGGAGAAGTGTTTCTAGGAGGTGTGGGGTTGGTTGAATTTAGGGGTTCTTGATCACAAATGGGTAGAGGAAGAGGGTGTCGTTCCATGTGTAAATCATGCAAAGCCTTACTATTCTTGAATGGAAATATTGTTTCATGAAAGATAACATCTCGACTAACTAGAAATTTATGATGATCAATGTCATATAGTTTAAAGGCTTTTTGACCGACGGGGTACCCCACAAAGATGCAACGTCTAGCTCTAGGTGCGAATTTATTTGGATGATCATGTGAAGTGGATGCATAACACAAACAACCAAATGTACGCAAGTGAGTGAAATCAGGTGGATGGCCATAGAGTTTTTCATAAGGAGTTTGACCGGCTAAAATTTTGGATGGTGTTCGATTTATTAAATAAGTGGCGGTAAGAATGCAATCACCCCAAAAAATTAGTGGAAGATCGGCTTGGAAACGTAAAGCCCGTGCAACATTGAGAAGATGTCGGTGCTTACGCTCGACGACACCATTTTGTTGTGGGGTACCTGGGCAAGAGAATTGTTGGAGAATCCCAGAGTCACAAAGAATTTTCTGAAATGAATTATTTGTAAATTCAGTGCCATTATCGGAGCGAATTGTTTTTACACATGTCTGAAATTGATTTCGAACATAAGCTAAGAAATGAACTAACAAAGAATAGGCATCCGACTTGTATTTCATGAGATAGGTCCATGTGACACGGGAAAAATCATCAACAATAGTTAAAAAATAATGATGACCATTTTTTGTAGGTGTGGCATACTTTCCCCAAATATCAACATGAATTAATTCAAACAAACCACTTGCTAGTGGGTGTGTGTAAAGGAAAAGGGAGTCTTGTTTGTTTTGACAAATGACGAGACTTCACAATGGTCACAAGAGTCTTTATTGAAACCAAGAACAGAAGCTAAACACTTGAGGGCACTTGATGATGGATGACCAAACCTAGCATGCCAAGTGGTGGATGAGGTAGTGATGATGGCGGCAACAAAGGTAGAGACATCAAGGAAGTAGAGTCCACCCTTTTTATGGCCCCGACCAATCTCCTTCTTCGTCAAATGGTCCTGAAATACACAATGATCGGGATAAAAGGAAACGAGAACAATTAGTAGTGCTGGGTGAGTTTTGGCACGAGATAAAAGGTTGAATTTGAATGAGGGTACAAATAAGACATCGGTCAAGATGATATCTGATGTTATGTGTACATTTCCAAAGCCATGTATAGGAACCGAATGACCATTAGGAACACAAATAGATTTATGAAGAGAAGAAGGAATAGGTGGTTGTTGAAAAGAGGAAGGGGTGAAAGAAACGTGATACTGTTGCGCCGAGTATCAATAACCCATTCGGTAGGCATACGAGAGGGAAGAATAAAGAGCTAGAGACGCACCTATGAGATTGGCCTTAGGTTGGTTTACCTCCCTTAATAGGCGAAGAAGTTGCTGTAACGAATCTGCGAGATAAAGGATCTTTCACGAGCATCATTACGTTGGTCAGGCACGAGTGGATGAAGTAGATGACTGTCCAAGAGTTTGTCCGGGATTATCGGAAGAGTGAAGATAATAAAGGCTCTCCAAATTAAGGTTGCTTGGAGGTAGACATGCTTGCAGAGGTAAAAAAATCAGAGTTGATTATAGAGATGCTTCGATACCATGAAAGTATACCTCGAGAGCATATATTTCATTGATTGAGAGGCAAAATATATACGAGTGAATACATCGATCAGTTACATAACATTAGGAGAGAAATAAGCTAAATCTCTAGAAATTAGGCAAATATCTCTCCTATATTAAGTATGTATCCCAATTTAAGCTAATCACAATATTTGACAATAATTACAATCATATCAGATTCTTGATTGTGTAACAATTTCTAAAAGAAAAATTTTTATATTATTAGAGACGGTGAAAGTTCTTATATTTTTACATGGATAAATATGTTTTTTGAAATTTATAAACACGAAACTTAATATTTTTATTTTTTAAAATATAAAAAGCAAATCGTCCACTTAAAAATGTGTTTATGTTAGATTAAACTTATAAAAATTTAATATTTTAACTTAACAAAAAAAAAAAAAAGATGGTCAACATTTTGTAAGTACTGTAGAATGAAGAACATGTCCCATGTCGGAAACTCAGACATAAATGTCCGCACGTCACTTCCTAATACACACTCGCCTTTAAGTTGCACACGCTTTCATCTTACTTTTCCTTTTTATTTGTCTTTTTCTTTTTCACAAAATTTGACCACAATTTATTGTTCATACACTTTATTTTTTTTATTGTAAACATTTAGATCACAATTCAAAGTCTTGTACTTATTACATAGTTTATTAAATTCAAGAGTATAAAAATACATGTAGTCTAAATTGTGTTAAAAGGATTATTTTAACCTATTTTTTATATTTTTATTATCTAATTTGTATATTTAACTTTTCTATATTTATTATTTTTATTTATTGTCTTTTAATTGTATTTCAAATTATATTCACATTTTAAAAATAATTAATTAATAATTAAAAAATAACATTTCATTAAAATAAATATCATTAGTTATAAATCCAACATAAATTTAGATATCCAATAATATTAATCATAAATTTAACTATAGCAAAATAATATATATTAAAAACATGTCTTTAATGTAATTATCCTACTAAATAAGTAAGTAAATAATAATAATTTATTAGGATAATATTTGAAATTATATATATTAAAAATATTTTTTAATGTAATTATCTAATTAAAATAAGTTAACAATAGTAATTTAGCAGGATAAAAATTGAAATTTCATTTATTAAGTTAATTAAGAATCATAAGTAAAAAAGTTATTTAATTCAAACTTCATTTATAATTATAAAATTTAATCAATTCAAATACTTATCTCAAATTAGATTTGTTAATTTGATTTTTTTATTAACAAAATTAACTATTTGAAAATTTAGGAGTTGTAAGAATCTTTTGAGATTATTTTAGTATAAGAAGAAATTGAGGTAAGAAAACCAATTTTCATTTTTTTATAACATATTCTCACTGTAGAAAAAAACAATATTTTGATAAGTTATAAAAATTTGTCATGGTAACAAGAAAATTTATATATCAACTTAAACATCTTATGTTAAGTATTAGTGGAAGTTGTTATTTTTTAATTTAATTTAATGTTTAGTATCTTAAAAGTTGTCTAATGTCTATATAATATAGTAATCAAGACATATAAATGTGATATGATACATTAAAACTTGATTTGAATTGATTTAGATACATGAAAGTTCATCTATAATGTTTTGTAAAAATATATAAGTATTTTATTATTTTAAATTATAATGATCCAATATTTAATAGATGATACACATGTTAATCCTAATCGAAAGGTAAAAAATTTAAATTTTTAAGATGCTTCATATGTATTTAACTATTTTATATATAAAGAATTTGTATAAAAGCCAAAATTGTAGCATTAAGGAGAAATTCAACCAAACGGTTTGCAAGGTATAGACATATTTTCATTCATAATAGACTTTTATTTTTTTATTCATTGGTAATGGAGATATATACACTTTTGATTATCCTCGTGCTTGGCATAAATATAGAAAAATAAAAAGTTTTTTATTTTCCTCGTCATTACAATGTATTATTATTATTATTAAAGTTTTGATCTTTCCTCTCCCCACGATCGTCCACGTGGCACTCATTTCATCCTGTGATTAAATCCTGGAGTGGACCCCACACTCTGAAGAGCACTTGCATAATGATGAAAGCTAATGAATGACCCTTCACCAGCTTGCTCAAGGACGATGCTTTGCTGGTGACCTATCCCTTCTTCTTCTTCTTTTCTTCTTTCATTTTCAATTCTGTGAACACCCTTTTGTGTAAAGAACCGATTTTTCCGCACTCCAACGTGAATCGCGAGGAGGGTCTCGGCCAGAGAAGGAGAAGGAGTAATGGGTGTTTGCGGGTCGAGGCCCAAGGTGAACGAGGACCTCGCGGCGAAGAAGAAGAACCACCGCAGAAGAAGGAGGAGAATCCTACGGAGACGCGTCTCTTCGAGAAAGATCGAAGCCAACAACGTTGCTCACTCTAATTCCGCTTTGCAAGCTTCTAATCGCGCTTCAGGTGCTTCTGCTTCTGTTCACTCTATTTTTGTTTTGTTTTATTTATAATTTCAATTTGTTGTTTTACTTTATTTGCAAGCAAAATTGGACACCACGGTTTAATGAATGCTGTTAGGTTTATTTTTGGCATGCATGCTTAGTCTTAATTGAGGTTTATTAAATTTTTTTAGTTTAATGAATGTTTGATTAACATTGAAGTGAAGATCCTTATTTTGTTTTTTTGGTTTCAGATGCTGCTTGGTTTGATTCTACTTCGGCGTTGGATTCTGAGTGTGATGACGAATTTTACAGTGTCTATGATGGTATGTGATTTTTTATTTCTTTTTTCTGTAAATTTGGAGTACAAAATTCAAGGTTTATAAATTGGGGTTGCCAAGCCTTCAGTGTAATCCTTTGTGGGTAATTGGGTACAAACATGGCTCATACGGCTGCAACCGTGGTCGGTTGTGGTTGGGGAGATTCAAATTCAAGGTTTTTAAATTGGGGTAGAGGAGAGGTTGCAATTTTGTTGTAATTCGTTGTATCGTGTGAAATTACAGACAAATGTGGTCGGCGCGGCTTCATTTGTAGTTGTGTGGGGGAAATTGTTGATAAATGTGGTCAATCCGGCTTCAGTTGTAGTAGTGTTGTGTGGTCACAAAGACTCTGAAAACCTTGATGATAGGGCCGAAACTGCAGCTGTGGACTCGTTATTTGAAACCTTGATTGGATTTTCAGTTTATTTTTGTTTATTTTTCTTGTCAGTATGGTTAATTTTTTACATGAATGTTTGGTAGATAGTCTTTGAATGAGAGTGAAATTGAGTCAAGGACAAAGGTTTCATCTCCTGAAGGAGTTGGTCCTGAATTTGTTGATCACGACCACCGTAACCAGAAACAATGAGTTCACACCCATATAATTATTTTTGTAGCAATTCTTCCTTGAAGATTGCTAAGAATGAAGGCAAACCAAAAGATTCTACATTGAAACCAGATGACCCTCGAGCTTATTTAGACTCTGTTTCGACAGGAGAAGCGTCTTCCGGTCATGCAGATGAAATTGGAGAGGACAGAAAGCTGAGCTTGGATCATTGTGGGATTCTGCCAAATACCTGTTTGCCGTGCCTCTCTTCCAATGCACTTGCTGTTGAAAAAAGAAGGCCAATGAGTCCTGATACACCAAGTTCGCATAGAAAGTCACTGTCCAAACTCTCCTTTAAATGGAGAGAAGGGTCTTCAGATATGACTTTACGTGAGTATTCTGCATATTTCTTTCCCTGCAAGAATTGCTTTTTGTTTCGGTTCTTATGTATTTTCCAGTTTTGTGCAAATGGATTACTTAGGGTTTGTTTGTTTAAGGAAATGTTTTCTGCTTTGTTGCGCCCGTTCAGAAATTATTAGGAAATGTCTCTTTGTTTCCACCTCGCTTCATGTACAAATCTAAAACAGGCAGCAATAAGGTGACAATTTAGTAAAATTTCACTATCTAAAATCAAGAAAAAGACTCCTAGGACAACTGTGAAATAGTGAAAGTGATGATACCGTGTTGGCTTATGAGTTTGAACTTCTTTTATTTCTCCTGCCACGTTTACAGCAAAGTAAACATGAAGGAATATATAAAAGTATTAGTTATTTCTTTTATTTGCTCTTGTTGAATTTTCTGCATCATTCACTTTCCCATTTTTAGATGTTTGGTGCTAGTTCTTTCATGGCTTATATCTTGTTACTAATTCATGGCTCTCTTTTATTCCAGCTTCCCCCAAGGCATTTAAACAAAAACATTTAGCAGGTTCATCGATTCCATTTTGTTCAATAGAGAAGCAAACGCCTGGTTCTTGGTCACAAATTGAGCCAAGTTCATTCAGAGTAAGAGGCAAAAACTACTTCAGGTAGGCTCAAAGTTCATAATTTGTGCTAAATATTCTTTCGGTGATTGAACCTTTTGTTAGGGATGTCCCTCATGTAGATAATTCCATTATGTTAAAAATCAAACACTGTTCCATTTTTTATAATTCCATAATTCATTTGTTGCATGGGTGGCAGGGATAAGAAGAAAGATTTTGCTCCGAGCAGTGCTGCTTTCTATCCTCTTGGTGCTGACCTCTTTTTGTCTCCCCGAAAAATTGATCATATTGCTCGCTTTATACAAATTCCTGCAATAAACATACCTGGGGACGTCCCTTCTATTCTTATTGTAAACCTTCAGGTAGCTGCATATGTCCTTTTATAGATTAAAATCAAACTGGAGAATTTCTCATCCACATATCACTGATGTGCTAATTTCATGCCATGTGCCTAAAGGTCATAGTTTCTTTCCATTCCGAGTATGGGTGGAAATTTTATCGATTATTCTGTCATATGTGATGAAAAATATGGGTGGAATACACATTCATCGCAATCTGGATTGTGTTTCTCAAAGTTTATAACATATTTATGCTCTTTAAAATGCAGATACCATTATATCCTGCCACTATCTTCCAAAGTGAAAATGATGGTGAAGGAATGAATGTAGTTTTGTACTTCAAATTATCTGAAAAGTACTCCAAAGACCTTCCAGACCAATTCCGAGAAAGTATCAGTGTAAGGGGGATATGCTATTATCTTTTTTTACAGTCATTGTGCATCATGTAAAGGAAGATTTTACTTCTATAACACTATAGATAGATTTTAGACACTTCATTAACATGTTTGTCTATTCTTATTTTCGTTCACAGAAATTGATCAATGACGAAGTGGAGAGAGTTAAAGGCTTCCCTCTAGATACAATTGCACCTTTTAGGGAGAGATTAAAAATTTTAGGCCGAGTGGCTAATTTGGAGAATCTATCTTTAAGCACAACTGAAAAGAAGCTTATGAATGCGTACAACGAAAAACCAGTTCTCTCACGTCCTCAGCACGAATTTTACTTGGTACGCACACCTGAATGAATATTCTTAGTTACAGATATAATACCCTTCAATAAATTCTCAGAGGACCTTTTAGTATTTGCATTGAAGTAATCGCCACTAAAGTTGTAAATGGTCTTTATTCAGTGGAACATATAGAAAATCATATAAATAGATTCATTCCTCCTTTTGCTGCCTTAGCATTTTAGAAAGCTCATTTGGACCATTGGTTTTATTTTCATTATTTTGATCTCTGTCACCATTTGCCTTCATTTTCACAGGCAAATTTGTCAACATATTTATGCACATATGTCTATCCATCTCTTCTGAGCTTGAGTTATGTTGAGTGATATTTTTGAGCTGTTGAAAAATTCCTAATCTGATACTATTTCTTCCACTTCCACAGGGAGAAAACTATCTTGAGATAGATTTGGATGTTCACAGATTTAGCTATATTGCAAGAAAAGGATTTGAAGGCTTCATTGAAAGACTGAAGTTATGTAACCTGGATTTTGGTCTCACAATTCAGGTAACTTACTTACCATTTTATTGGCTACATAAATAAACTTTCATTTATATTAACCACGAGTTAAGCTATCCATCAATCAATCAGAAATCATCATTAGTATGATTTTGAAGATAATGATTATAAAAATTGGATGAAAGTATGAAATTCTTTACCCATGTAGTTTACAATTGGAAGATTCAAAGTCTTGGTATATAATTTACTTATTGTTTTCATGTTGTAGGGAAACAAGGCTGAAGACTTGCCTGAGCATTTATTATGCGCAATACGGTTGAATAAACTTGACTACAGTAACTTCAACCAGATTGGAGTCCAGGCTTCAACATAAAGAGTTTTAACCTTAATATTTTTCATAATGATTACAAGCGTGTCACTCACAGGTTGTGTTGAAATGAAATTCTGTAGCTAACAGCAATGTATCCTTGAATTACTCGATTCATTGATATAAAATTCGTAGAATGTACAGTAATGAGAATAATCAAATTGGAAATTATCAATGAGTAATTTATCTCTCAATGTTACAAGCAGTAACCTGATTATCACTTGTGATTTTTGGACATTACTCATCTTATTTCCAAATTTGCAAGACTACATGAATATCATGACAAAAACTCAGTTCATCACTAAGATCAGGTCAAGTTTTATTTAGGACATTTAATTAAAATTGGGTTGGATAAATGAGTTTCAAGTCTAATAAATTCAGCTCAATTAGATAACAAGTATAAAATAATCTAATTGTCTAATAATCTTATTATATAAAAATAATTATAGTTAATCATGTAAATATTGTTATATGAATATTACAAGTAAATGTTTCATACCCTTGTGTCTATTTTATAGATCGTATTTGTGATTTGTAAAATAAATTTATTATTTTAGTTTATCAGTATTTTAAAGAATATATTTTATGTTTGTACTATAAATAGTATTATCACCTTATAAAAATTTAAAAACATCACTTTTGAAATATTTTTTAAGAATTAAAAAAAGTAATAATATCTTTTTAAATAATCACTTAACTTGGTATCTCGATCTATTCAATTATAATTGGATTGAGTTGATAAAAATAAATAAATAAATAAAATTCATATTACTTACATTTTAAGAAATTGAAGAGAAAATCAATTGTTAACTTTTGCAATGCTTGTTAATTACTTTTTTTTTTGAAGTTTTTCTTAAAAAAATTTGTTGTGCCTTAGATGGGATATAAATCTGACCTCTATGAGTAACGTGATTTATTTTCACCACTGATGATAACATTTGAAAAGAAAATTATGTTTTTACTATTTTTTTTTTGTAAGATTTGTTTTGATAAAAAAGATAAAAAGCATGTTAACAAGCGTATTATAATATTGTACAAGTTTATCAGATTTTCTCATCGTATTTCACGTAAACCAAACAACTGATAATTTTATTTGTTATTTATTTTCTAATAATTTCTTCGCTGGCAAAGTAAAAAGAAAAAAAGCGAAAGAATTGACTTCAGCAGTCTGAAATGGCTCACCTGTCTCAGTCCATTTTGGAGGATTCGTTGCAAGGCACGTGGGTAATTTTTTTTTTTAAGGTACATGTGTTTGTTAGAAGGTTTTGTAACGAGAATGGTTGATTTTGCATCTATCTTTCTTTTATTCCCACATGCATCACAACATCTTTATTCTGTACCAAGTTGATGCTTGAAGAACATTGATAAATTCTATTGATAATAATAAAAAAATGAAGAAAATAGAGTAATTCTATTGAGAATAACCAAAATAAAATGAAGACACATATTTGCAGAACATGAAAAAAACAATGAACTGACACAAAGAAGAAGACCCTGATTAAAAAAGAAAAAGAAAAAGTGTGATCAATCACGACTCGATGAAGAACTCATACATATTCCGAAAATGGAAGAGAAAAAACCTCCATGTACCTTATTCTGAGTTTTAGATAAAGAAGGTGATGAATGTGGATGAGGTTCACTTCCATCACTCTCATGCAAAGTTCTTCCCAGTATATTTTCTTCAATTTGTGGTACATTTACCTCCTTGTTGTTCTTGTTCTTCCTAGAAGAAAATGAAGCACTGCCAGCACCGCCATTGGATTTTGGTTCCACCAATTGCATTTGATCTTGCCATATTCGACCAGAAGATCCTTGTCTTCGAAATGAAAACGACGATCTTTGCAATGAATTCATGATATACGAAATCAGAGTTTTTCCTCAATTGTATGCTCTTCTCTTTATTTCTTATTATCTCTTCTTCTGAAATCCACCTTCTCTCAATTCACCATTTTTTAACTCATCACATAACGGTTTTAGCCTTCTATATTTAGTTCTTATCCCTACAATTTTTGACTAATTCATTTGGGTCAGTTGCTGTATTTGGAAACTAATTAACAACTGTTCTTATCTATTTTGGTGATTCTACATTTTAGGGATTGTACAATACTTGCTCAGGCTCATTTAGGTCTTAGGTTTTTCATTTTAGGATCTAAAACATATCCAAATTTAACATCTTTTGTTAAGCTGGTGAATCTCCTTTTTCATTATTTATATATTTAACCAACCATAGATTTTTTAAATTTATCATTATTGATCTCAATATCCAATTGGTTCTTTAACAGATCATACATATAGATTAGAGGTGTTTTCTTTTGGATAACTGTGTTTTCTACGGATCATAATTAAAAAATATATTTTATATGAATATTTATTTACGTCAAGAATCTTCTGTTATACAGTAGGTCTTAATGGTAAATAGCAACGGAAAACCTTAAAGGAAATTCATCTAAATATACACATTAACATCCAAAATTTATACTATATGTTTTAGGAGTTAAAAAGAAAAAAATAAACATTTAAAAAAATAAAAATAAAAATTAGGAGAAAAAGTAACCAACCTAAATAATTTAAAGAGGCATTGCACAAAACTTAAATCGTTGCAAAATCTGCAATTAGAAAATTTTGTACTTAATTATCTTCTAATAATTCATAAGCACTTAGTATTCAAAAGAAGCATCCAAAAATTCAGGGAATGCTGCTCTTAACTCACTATCCCTGTCCAAAATACCATCCACAAATGAATGACCTTCACACTGTTTTTTGATCTGATATTCCATGCTTGCACCACGACAACCCTCAATTGCTGCAACTCCTTGATGGTCATGGCCATTGCTTTTGGCATTGTTGGAAAGTTCAGCTTCACTTTGCACTAGACCTGAGGGATTCAGTGACCACATAAACGAGTCACTGTGAAGAAAATCACTCCAATCGAAGGAGGAACAATGAGGGGCAATTTGAGCCCGAGGGGTTTGGCAAGAGTAGGACTGTGGTGAGCCTAACTGTGTGAGGTTGGAGGAGGAGGAGGAGGATGAGGTGGAGGATGAAGCTTCACTGAAGACATGTGGTTGGACATTTTCTGTGGTGAGGACTTGGTAAGGACTGTGGAGTTCCCATGAGTGAACTTGACTCTCTTGTGTGTGCTCCACCATTGACTTATTGGAACCTGCTGATGGTTCAGTTTTGGTTGGTAGCATGTTGTTCATCACCAACTCCTTGTTGACAAAAGCCATTTGGTTAGTGGTGGTGGTGTTAGGGATGCCACTGATGCTTCCCAAGTCAGAGAGGACTTGGGATACTGGCTTATGAGTCACTGGATCAATTCCCATCTTCATAAGCTTCTTCCTTAGCTTTGTGTTCCAGTAGTTCTTGACATCATTGTCTGTTCTCCCAGGTAATCTACTTGCAATTACAGACCATCTAAGAAGAAAATGTGATCAGAAGTCACAAATAAGGTGATGGTTTTTTTTTTTTCCTTTGAATAAAAAAGGTTAAAAGGAAGGCAAAGGAAACAAAAAAGGGGTTATATAGTTGGCACATTTGTGATGCATGTCAAAGTTTATGGTTAGTTCATTCTCTCAATAAACCAAGACAGCACAGTTTATATTTTCCTCATGCAACATATACCAACAAGTGCATCAAGTTTTGTCATGCTAATTTTGCTTACTTGGTGAGACTAATTGCTATATCATAAAAACAGAATTTAGTAATTGCACCCTATACTGTGATTAGACAGCTTGGAGTTAAATATAAGCATTTTAGAAATTAAATACCCTTTAATAAAGCATATAAGTGAATGGCATATGCAGTTAAAAATTTCAAATACACATAATGATGCCAGATAAGCTCTTGTACAGAAGGTAAAGTACACTGAAATTTTGTGTCACCTTTCATACATTGCATTGAGGCTATAAAAGAAAATTTCCAAATATAAAGATTAGAACACACCTGCTTCCTATGGCTCCATGGAGGTTAATAATGAACTCTTCTTCTTGGGGAGTAAAATTGTCATGCTTCAGGTCAGGTCTTAGATAGTTGGTCCATCTTAGCCTGCAGCTTTTACCACACCTATTCAGCCCTGCAAGCAATCCAAGAAAAGAGAGTAAAGTTGCACCATAAGAAAATTATGTCTCTTATTTTCTGAAGGAAAGGGGTTGGAGAAACCTGCTTTCTTTGGAACCAGTGTCCAGTTTCCAGTTCCATGATTGGCTACATAGGCAAGTATTTTAGCATCTTCCTCAGGAGTCCAAAGACCCCTTTTCACATTGGATTTGTCACAACAAGGAGGCCTTCCCATTTTTTCAAAACGAGAGAAAAGAGACACAGAAGAAGAAGAGGTGCAAGGGAAGGACAGAGTGAATTATGTAATGGTGATGCAATATGCATTGCAGGGTAACTTTAAAGTGGTGAAAGGGGCTAATTTTAAGATATGAAGAGGCAAGAAAAGCATGCAAATATTGGCTCCTAATAACAACAATTGCATGATTATATTCATCTTTCTGTAAACAAAATTAAAAAGCAAAACCATTTGTATGACATCAGAAGCATAATGCAAGTGCCTTCCCATTTCCTTCTCTCTCTTATGCCTCCCTCCCAAAAACTATATCTATTTCAGGTGCAATGTGAATGACCTCTTTCGTTAAAACTGACAAAATTAACTGATTCAATGTGATAGTGCAATCAAAATTCTTTCATCTAGTACTATGTCTTTGCATAAAACAAAACTAATAATAAAAAGTACACATACATTCTTGTCATAGATTCATTCTGATAGATCCTATGTAAGCATTAGCAGCAAATCATGAAAAAAAATAGCATTTTATCATCCTTCATTTTCTTATTTTATTCTTTTTTTTATCAAATTTATTCTATGGATATTCCCATCAACTCATCCATCACCTATCTATTATAATTCTGAAACACAAATACGGTTGATTTAATTTTAATCAAGTTTAATTTGTTTATATTTTATAGAAATATCTGAATATATATATGTCTGATAAAAATTTCTTGATCACCATGTCATATCAATGAATAATAAAAAAACATGATAATTTGTGAAAACTTGTCAAATATTTGGATAAAATAAAAATAAAAATTATATAAGTTGAACCTTTAAACTTGTGTCACCTCCTGACAATGGTATTTTCTTGTATTCAGTTGAAATAATTATATATATATTGAATATATTTATATTATGAATATATAATTATAAAATCATTAATATTTAAGAAATCAGTAACAAATCAAGCACCTTATATTATTTATCATGCATTTAGGTAAGTCAATTCTTTTGGTGTTCCATTATTCCAATACAGAAAAAAAAAACGATTGACTACATTAATTTCAAACTTTATTTTTAATTCAAAATGTTTTTTTTTTCTTTCAAAAAATGAATACTTGGGCAATCCACTCAAATTGAAAAAAAAAATCTTATAAAGAAAACTTATATATAAACGTTTTTTTTATACATTAAAACAAAATTACTAATTATTAATTGTAATAATAATAATAATAATAACAGTAATTAAATTATAAATATGACTAATCTAAATAATTTAATTTATGCTTGCTACATTAGAGAGTCATGATAAAGATAATAAGTTTTGTACGAGAGAAATGAGAAAAGGGTGAAAATAAAATTAGTTATTTAGTATGGAATCTTACTTTTACACCGTAACTTCAACTTATTTTTATTCATTATTACACATGTCTGTCCTTATTTTTTATCTATTTCTCTTCAACAAAACACTTTTAATTATCACTTCAGTTATCCCTTTCACTTATTCATCAGAAGTCTTTATTCACCCATGGCAAGAGAAACAACAAACTAGCAAGTATAACAAGAACACCCCATGACAAATTATTCAAAACTAGGAAGAGTCGTAAGAAAAACAAAAACAGTAAAAGTATCAGCGAGTATATATAATAATAGTTTATAATGTACTCAAAACTTGTTTTCAAATGATTTCAATAAACTCTTCAAAATAGTTCATAAAAACAACTAACATCATAACAAGTTTTACTCAAACACAAACTATACCTAAACACTTATCTTTGATAATTGGAATATGGCTAAAACTAAAACCGTTGGCTCTTTGAAAAACAATGTAGAAGATGGTATGAAATGTACTGGCAGAGTTCAAGGTTAAGTAAGGTTCACAACAAAATGAATGTTATATACAATATATATTTAACAAGGTATTATGTTTCTACACGCATTTGAGAGCAAAGAAGGTAACAGACTCCCTAAGAAGAGCAGATATTGCAACTCTTCATACATTTTCCTTTGACTCCATCACCACCAACCATATAGAGTGGATTCTTCTCACATTCACCTATTTTAGCCCACCTAGGGCAATTCTCGTTCTCATCAACACAGTCTCCACCATCCACTGACCTGACTGGTTTTTCAAAGTCACTCACGTGAATCCACTTGGTTGCAGACCACTTCTCGCCTTCAATGACTGGACAGCTTCCATGCAAACTATTGGCATCTGTAGTTGCATCAAGATGAAGACTGAAGAACAACAAGGCATCACCCTTCCGAGGTTTGACTGATTGACAGAAACAGAGGGTTAGAATTTAGATGTTATTCTTTTGAGTTTTGAGAACAATTTTCAAGAACAGAAAAACAAAACCAATTCCAAATAGACCCCAAACTTGATAATATTTTTCATATTATCTAATGCAAAACATGATAATATTTTTCATATTGATATAATTTGTTGGAATTGTACCACAAGAAATTATGCACTATACACTTGAAGGGTTTCTTTGATATAGTTCAAAATAACATCCAAGTCGATATATAGAAAACTGCTATTAGTTTGTAAAAGCATCTAAAATATATACCAGCATATCCTTTGTGAGCACATTCAGACCAGCTATCATCTTTTGGCTGCAACAACTTTTCCTGAAAAGGAAAATAAATTGACGATGATTTCACTTTTTTTCCCCTTTTGATTGCGGGAAAGAAGCTAGGCATCTTCTGTAAAAGGAAACATCCGAAAATCAAATTCATGCGAAAATATTTACCTCAGAATTGGGAAAAATTGTTTCCCCGCCCTTCTCAACATTAGACAAATACATCAATACAGTGGCAATCCGATGGCCACCCATAACTTGATTAGCTTTGTCATGGAAGTAATCAAAGTGTGGTTCATACTTCTGACCATTCTCATAGTGCAATATTTGAATCGACTCACCATTCTCTGAATGCAATAAAGATTCTGTTAAATTGAAGCAGAGAAAAGTAAATACTGAACTAGGTCAAAGAATATATTGTCTACTAACCTGTGGGAAGGAATGTCCATGCAGCAATTCGCTTTTCAACTCGAGCAACTATTTCATCCTTTAAGATTCAATATAGACAAAAGAAATCAAAAACTAAATGCAAGTGTCACAAAGCTTTTATAATAAAATTTCAGCTCGTGAATTTGTGATAAGAAATTGTAATGAAACTTTGGTAATTTTCTTAACACAGTAGTAGAAGATTCTGGGAGGAGAGATGAATTATTATCGACAATTAGATAAGATTCATATAGGCACTCTAAATATAAATGCTACATTAGAAAATATGAGTTATCACACTAAATCCGTGACTAAATTATCTTTCAAACAACTCAAGGGCTCTGCACACTTTGCGTGGTACTCTTGTTTTTCGATTTGGATCCTCTTCTATATGATGACTAAATCCCACATTTTCTTACTTAATCTACCGTTGAAATAAAAACCATCTAAACCTATGAGAGAAGAATGGGAAACAAGTGTGTCTGATTTAGTGAGATAGCGGATTGATTAGTGATCAATTTCATTTTTAGCATTGAAATGGAATTTACTCTTCATTCTAATAGCAAGAGCAAGAGAGAGAGATTTGTACGACACACCGCCATATGAGCGTCTCCTTATTTACGTGATGTGTTCCAATAAATGCACAAGCCAAAATTTTAAAATAAGAACTTCGCATACTTCTCAATAAGCTACATAATTAATAATAATCATATGAAGAACTTGGAAGGATTTCACATAAGCATAAAATAACTCATATCTTTGATTCATCATACATGTGCCTTGTTGAGAAACATTCCAGAACTCGTTCTGACTTCACTCATTATACTTTTACCAGACTCGTTATCCGCCACCATGGACTTCTCCAGCTTGTCCTTGGCCTAATATCACAAAGATTCAGACAGAGAACATAATATCATATATAATCCCATAAAAGACCTCACATAAGCCCAATGCTAAAGGTTTCAAATTGTAGCCACGATTTCATCACAACCATTAATATTGTGAGAAATTGTGGACAAATGCAGCCTCAGCAACCACAAGGCAATTGCAGTCGCAAAGACCCAAAAATCCCTTTAGGTTGCAGCCTAGATCACAGTACAGACCCTTTTGTAAAACCTTGATATGCTAATGTATTGATCATCAGCATCAAACATAAAAACAAAAGGATAAATTGTTTTACTTCCCTCAATTTCCGGTCAAAATTGGTCTTAGTTCATATAATTTTAAAAAATACCAAGGTAAAGATCGCAGTCCTGTTTTAAAAGTATAAGGACCAAGATTAAATTTGACCGAATGGGGAGAGACTTCAAACACATTTTATCAAAATAAAAATCTAACCAGAGTTATCAGATGATCACATTCTTCCTCCGTTAAAAACCCCTTGTACAGGAAAGCCCTGCATGACATAATTCACAATATTAACAACAAAAGGAAAAACAAATGCGACCCATTTGTCTAACAAAGGTAAGGTCAAACCTGGGATTCCATGAGAGCTGAGTGACCCGTGTGGGATCAAATTTCACTGAAGAGCCTTCCCTGTTCAACCTGAGCACCGATCCATGCCTGAAAAACCAACACCCACAAATCAAAACAAAGAAAAGGTCAAATTTTAAACGCATCCACTGACAGAGAGATACAAAATGGCAAAATGTATTCAGATATATAATTATGATCATCATTACGTGGCCTTGGCTTCTTGGTCCAGACCAGGCAACCGAATGGAGGAAACAGAGATCTCGAAACAGAGGAAACAGAGGAAGAGCGACACCATATGGCGAGAAACCATGGTGAAAGGTGTTTTCGGTGGGGATTCAGAAAGAGAGCGTTGAAATTTATGTAATGCAACTGGAGAATTGAAAGAAAAGAGAGAGTGTATGAAAATGGAATATAGGCGTTTCTTTAATTCGGTTTGTCGTTTTCGGAGCAATGAGGATTCAACGAAACGCCCACTGGTTTTTGATTTCGCTTTCTACTTCCTGTCTGTTTCTGAGGTGCGCTTAAACCCACCTTCTCGAACCTTCGTTTACCGCACCAACACGGAAAATACAAAATTTGACCTTTATTTTTTTCAACCAGTTCAATTTCCGTGTAATAATACTACTATACACAGTTTTTTAAGGTTGAACTATACGTTAGTTATTTACTTTGTTTTTTTTATAAATCTAATTAAATTTAATATGACTTTCTATTAAAAAAATATAATTAATCTATTTTAATTTTCATCAAATGGATGCTTAGATTAAAATAATTAAGCAGTCCCATGTTATTGGAAACAATTTAGCTAAAAAATTAAACATATTTATCATGGGATTTGGAGACATATGAATATCCACCGTTTTGCACATATAGTTACAGTTATCTGTCGTGAAAAAACAAGTTTTTTTTCTAACATTATATTTTAAAATTACTAAAGATTATTTTTTTAAAATATGTTATTTTAATTTTTTATTTGAATTTAATATTTATTATATATTTTTATCAACTTAAATTCTCATAATAAATTATTATAATTATTTTTTATATTTAAATTAATCATTTTTATTATCATAAAAAAATCATTCGTTTTAAATTGAACAAGTTAATTAATCAATTAACAAAAAACATTAAAAAAATATATATTTGACCTTATATTAATGGTGCTTAGCCAACACACATGTGATAGTGGGAATTCGTTTTTCTATTTGTTTTTTTTTCCTAATTGTATAAAAAAAATATATTACCTAAAGCTTTTTTTCTTAATTATTTTTATTCACAAAAAATTAATTTAAAAATATTATTTTAAATAGAGTTCAATTTCACAATAAAAAAACTATAGGTAATTATCCTAAAAAAAGGTTTATTCTAGGTAATTATATAAAAATAATAACAAATCTATTATATAAATTGCTATAGATAGTCATGAAAAAGTGTAGCCTTTATATTGAATAAAGTGGACTGTATATAAGATAAATATATGTTTTATTATAATTAAATTTTCAAATAAATAAATATTTTAATATATAAATTGTTTTATAATATATATATATATATATATATATATATATATATAATAAAGAAAAGGCCCAAATTGACCATGACCCGGCCCATGCCGCATCTCTCCTTCAATCTTAGGGTTTCTTCGTTCTAATACTTCACCTTGTTCTGCTTATAAATACATGCAGCAAGTCTTACTTTCCCAGCGTCTCATTTGCGCCTCTTCAATCAGCGTAAGGTTCAGTAATGCTTCAATAAGGTTATATTTTATTTATTTATTTCTCTAATATTTTACTACCTTTCTTTATCATCTTAATAATCATCTGATGAGAAAAAAAAACTGCAACAATATGATTGGATTCACTCCATGATTCCTTGTATTTAAGTCTCTGATGATTCACCCATCCTTGTATTCTTTCCTCTTTCCAGTATTTGTAGGAAATTACCTCTATTTATTGTTGTAGATATTCAATTATATCCAAAACCCGTAGAGAGATGATGATGTTTACATTGGTCCGTGTTTCTGAATCATCGTGACCGACGATCTTTTCCAATTTCTGATCTCGTATTGCAAATAATACTGTTCTAGTTTCACCTTGCATCGAATCTGCTTCATGTGTATGTTGTGATTTACCTGGCTCAGTGATTTTCTGCTGTAAATGCAGTATACGCTATTCCGACTTATTTCGTGAGCAGAAGTTTTTGATAGATGAGAGCCTTTGTTTTGTAAATTTGTCAAAATCTTATTTATTTTATTTTACCCTACTTAAATAGATTTTACATTCTATCGGATTTTAAATTTCAATTTGGTTTCGGTTTATCTGACTCTGCAGTGACGAATTAAGAATTTAATTCACATGTCAGACTTCAGAGGTTTTCAAATCTATGAGAATGACAAATCTCTTTCCGAGCAGAAAATGTATTATTTATCGGTTTCTCTATTTATTCATTGAACTATCTTTTATGCTATTTTTTATTTAGTCTTTTTGAATTAATTTTAATTGACGGGAGATTTCTGAGAAGGAGTCTCATGCTTGCTTTGAGAGCAAACAAATAGTGTCTGCATAATTCTCGAGTGACCGTCTAAAAACAATGCTCTGTTGTTGACGTCGCCATCCCCACGGATGGCAACTCCGACGGGGGTTTCTCACATTCCATTGCCTTATGGAGCGGCGTCGCTGCCTTTACTATTTGGGACTGGCCGTGAGATTAACATTCCTTTTTATTTGTTCCATATATTTGTATTCTTGATCCACCGTGTATGTTTTAATAAAATATTATTGACGGGAGATTTCTGAGAAGGAGTCTCATGCTTTAGTGAGAGCAGACGAATTGTGTTTGCATATTTCTCAAGTAACCGTCTAAAATCAATGCTCTGTTGTTGATGTCGCCTCCCTCACGGGTCGCAACTCCGACGGAGTTGTCTCATATTCCATTGCCTTGTGGAGCGGCGTCGCCGCCTTTACCATTTGGGACTGGCCATGAGACGCACATTTCATCCATGCTTTTGTAGTTGTGTCAATCTGATTTGGATCAATATCTTGATCAGTCAATTGTTTTACATTTTTGTTGTTTGTTTTTTCCGTTTTCTTTTCTGTATTTTGGCATTTTTGTAGTTGAATTGTATAGTATTTTTTGGCATGGCAAAAATCCTCTGATGTGTAGATTTCGAAACCATCGAAACCCGATAATCCTCCGAACCAGCCGATGATGATGTGATCTAAAAGCCTCTCATAAACATGATCGGACCCTGCAATGGCGAAACATAATAATATTAGATTTTTTATATTGTTGTAATCATAATAAAATAAGATTTATTTTATTAAAAAAATGTCACTACTTAAATCTACTGTTTGTTGAACAAATTATATTAAATACTTAACGATATTTTTTATTTTTATTATGTGGAACATTAAGTTAATGATTTCTTTTAGTTTTAATATATGTGGAATAAATAGTATTACATTGATAATGGGACAGATGATAATGTATGAATAACTTTGTGAAAAGAACTACGACAGAAATATATCATTATTAAGTTTTTGCTAAATATATTTTAAAAGTAAGATTAAATTTCTTCCGTTTGAAATACAAATTATATTATTCAATAAAATTGAAAAAAATAAATTATGGAAAAAAATTTTGAGATGAGGAGAAAAAGATTTAGTGAGAAACGACAGGTAGTAAGATCGAAAAAATAATTAAAATTCAATTTTTGGAATCAAAATATCATATAATATTTTAAAATTTTATTGTCGTTTCAAAAGAACTGAAAATAAAAACAGCTCATGGCAAAAATAACTTTAATTATTAAAAAGAGAAATAATACATAAAAAGTCAAGTTTCAAAAATAAAATAATCTTATTAATAATATATATTTAGAATAATTTTTAAATGTTTTTATTAGACTTATATACTATTATATATAATACTTATAAACAAAAGAAAAAGTAAGATAGAATATGATTTTCTTTATTTTTTTTATTTATAGTTTTTGGGTTAAGTAGGTTTTTAGTTTTTGTAATTTTATGTGAAATTATAAATAATCTTTAAAAAATTTATATAAAAATGATCTTTATATTAATGATTTTTATATTTTTGAAATGGTGACTTGTCCATAATATGATTTATTTATTATTTGAAATGTATAATTATTTAAAAAAAAAATTTAAAATGGAAATTATTAGTGATAATTTAAAAAAAAATTACAAAAAAATTGTTTAAGATAATAATCTATTTCAATAAGAATCTTTTTTATGTAAATTATGAGAGAAATTATTTTTAATTTCACATATACTTAATTTATAGTTTTTTGTTTTATTTTATTTTTTATTTTTTCACTTCATTTTTTAATTGAAAATAATGGATTAAAATTTGATAGAAAGTTTTTTATCGTTTAAAAAATGTAAATAATTTGAAAATATTATAATTTAATATATTATATTTAAAATATATATATATATATATATATAATATGTTTGAGATATTATAAATATTATTATTTTTATTATTGTGTTATAATTATTTTGAAAAATTAAATATTTATTTTAAAATAATTTTTTAATAATTATATAAAATGATCTAATTTATTATAACTCAACTTAATTATATGAAATATATTTAATTCAGAAATATTTGATTTTTAAATATTTATTTTAACATGTTTTTATTAAATTTTAATATAGAAGTTTAATGAGATATGAATGAGAGGAAAGAGAGAAACAAAATATGAGACTTGAAAGAATAAAACAATGAATATGAAAAAAAATAAAAGTTATGAGAAAGAAATTACATATTAATAATTTGATAATTTTTTTATACTGAGATAGAAATGTATATAGTGAAAAGAATGTAAAGAAAAGGAATGAAAGTACTAACTGAAGGTAAGTGAACCTTAATTGTTTTTAAAAGATCACATTTCACAAATAAAATGGGAAATAAAGTGGGAATTTAAAATTAATGAACACAAATTTAGTTTTAACTAAATTTTTGAATTTGTAAATAAAAAATTAAACTGTTTCATTCTGTTCTTTAGAATCACAATCTTTTCAACATCTCAAATACTTATCCCTCTTCAGATAGTACAGGGTAAGAGATAGTATGAAGTTCTCTTTAGTTGATATATGATTTTTTTTTCTTCTGAAGGAGAAGTCAAGAATCATAAGAATGTTGCATAACGTTGATGTTTTCTATATATAGCTTTGATTTTGTAATTTCATATATTTGATAATTAATTTATAATTATGTGTGTATAAAACACAGGGTAGCATCTTTTAAATTTAATTTTCTTACAGTGAGTCAACTCAATGGAAAAGACATGGATGAAAAGAAGATTGGCGGGAAATTCTTTTAAACTTGAGTAAGCAGTCTAAAAATTTAGTTGAGCGCAAAATTCTGAAGAAATTTTTATAGTAGATAATAACTATAAAAAATTGAAATATAACAATTCACTTATTTTTTATTATATTTCTGTTTCTGGTGGAATTTTGATCGATTTCGATTCTAAGGGTGTTTTGGTCCTAATCAAAATTCTACCACGTAAGTTCTTTTTACTTAGGCTAGCAATTTGATTTTCAATCGAAAACTACAGGATATCGAAAATGCTTGTTTTTGGTGTTTTGTCTTTAAAGTATCGAAAGCATTAAGACTATCGAATCGAAAAAGCGGAATATTAAATTGCGAGGAAATGTAAAGTCGCGAAAACCCCAAACTTGCATTAATTGTAAATAGCAAGAAAATCGAAAACAATGCAAATATAAATGACAAGAAATCGAGATTGCAAGAAAAGTAAATGACAGGAAATTGGGATTTGCAGAATGTTAAATAACATGAAAATCTAAATGCGA